TTTCTGAAGCATTTCTGCTCTTCCATCGCATGCCTTTCTCTTTCTCTATATGACTCTACTAACCTTTTCTTCGCTTCTCTTCTTCCACTCCACCCAGCGCCAATGAGCCAAGCCAGGGCTACAATTCGCTTGGACACTATGCACACAACTCGACCAATGTGATAGCGCGCTTCTGTCGCGGCACCATTCCGCGCACCTGCGATCGCTCCAACATTAACGAGACCTTCGCACGGCCGTGCACCATCTCCGAGAGCTATGTGTCCAGCAGCGATGCCATCACGCTGGAGCTGCGCAACACCGAGTCCACGGTGCTCAGGTGAGCTGCATTACTAGATCTTATCAAGTGCTCTCTCACTCTCCCTCTCTCTCTCCCTCTCTCTCTCTGCCACGCAGGCCCCTCGACTTTAAGCTAAAATACGAGTTCATCGATCTGCATCAGGATGGTCTACCCCAAGGTGGCGGTGAGCTGGACTGCAATCGCAAGTTCGTCAGCAGCCTGATGGATCGCAAGGATCCGGCAATCTTTCGCAGTGTGCGGAACATTTTCCTCTTCGGACGCGGCGGCACGCGGCATCTGAAGTGCGTCTACCGCTTCGAGGCGCTGCGCGGGGAACGCGTACGCATCAAGCTGCGCAAGGTGACGACCTCGAATCGAGATTGCTACTCACGTCTGGATGAGGACATCAATCGATCCTTCTGCTATGGCGATACGAATGTGCGCGTCGAGGTTTGTTTGCTGACTGCGGCCAGAGTCGGGATCCTCTCTCAGTGCTCCATTTCCTTCGCAGATCTTTGAGCGTCCCTATTCGGACTCCATTCTGCTGCATCGCGGCTGCGTTTGCAACTCCTCCAATCAGTCCCACCTGCCGGTCGAGTACACCTCGACGGGCCGCGATGTGGAGGTCCACTTCACCGCCCACAATATGACCACACTGGACGATCCGGACACGGCGAACTTCGAGGGCATGTTCGAGTTTGTAAAGGCGCCCACCAGCTGCAAGGATGGCCGACGCAAGTTCGGACCCAGCGGCACCATTGACATGACCTTTGGTGATGTAAGTGTGAAGGCGAGACACGAGCAGCATCATTGCTACTATATGCACTCGCTGCTCTTTCAGATCGAATGCCGCTCGAGACCGTGGCTCATCGAGCCCTCCAACGGCAACAAGTTTCTCTATGTGCGCCTCAAGGCCATCTTCCTGAGCAAACACAATCCGCAGAAGAGCTTAAACGCCACCCACTTGGAGACGAACAGCTGGCGCTGCGAGACCAAATCCCGCGTAGTGCTCACCACCTCGGAGGGTAGGCAGAGCGCCACTCAATGAATGCGAGATATACAATTCATGTCCATTCCAGGTCTCACCATTGTAGCCTGTCCGCTGAGTCCCGACTCGAATGCCTACGAATTCGTGGAGATCTTCAGCTCCGGCTGGAATGAGCGACCCAATTTCGCGCTGATGAATCGCTCGCGTGCCATCAGCGTGGAGTTCCTGCGCCCCAGCAACGGTGAATACAGCTTCAATTGGATGGAACTGGTGCCCAGGCCCACGCTCAGCATAGCAGGTGAGTCCGAGCAGTACTGGCTGCTTAAGTAACTATTCACCATTTGGTGTCCCACCCACAGAGGATTGCCAGTTCAAGTGCGCCGAGCTGGGCGCCTGTGTGAATGCGAGCGTCTGGTGCGACGGCATCGTGCACTGCCCCTCGGGCGACGACGAGGCCTTCCTGCAATGCTCCGCTCTGATGAAACTGCCCGCCGAAATTCTAGCCACGCTCTGCCTGATCTTTGTGCTCTCGTGTTGTGCTTTCGCTGCCTTTGCCTACAAGTGAGT